ATGAATTCGCGCACCTATAATATTTAAATGACAATGGAATATCCTCTGACAACTAAACGAAAAAGGGGATACAGATGAACAACCATTTTGTATCTGTATATTCAAAATAGGATAGATATACAGCTACACTCTCTTAATTCAATGAATAGAAAGATTTGTTCTAATAGTGTTTGTGGACAGGATATCATATCTGCATCTTGTACAATGAATAACCACTAGGACAACAATATGCAATGTATTAATTATTAAAACTGTGCTACTAATTGGTTTTGAAACCTCATTGCTATTTGTTTCTCAATAAAATTATTTTTTAAAAAAGATTTAGATAAGTCTTTTAATTCTTAATATAGGAGGGAAGGGTCAGTAGATAAAAATAACTTGGCTAAAATATTTAGTCATCTCTGATAGCCATCGTATTTTTATAATTTATCTTTATTTTCTTCTTCAGCTCAGAGTATACTTGCGAACATCAAATCTGGACAATGCCTTTGCTCATGTCACCAAGGCACAAGCAGAAACATTACTGCTCAGTGTCTTCCGGGACATGGTAATAGTATTTAGAGCAGACTGCTCAATATGTCTTTATAGTATTGAAAGAACATCTGATGGGTAAGTTGTAGCATGGAAATGACTTTTTGTTTCTGTTTATCATGTTTCCTTTATAGTTTTTGTTTTCTCAAAACAGTTTTCCACCTTTATATTTAGTTTCCCCTTTTAGAAGTCATATGTAAAAAGTTTTGATTAGTGATGTCTATATAATAGCCATAAAAAGAGAAGAATAGGAATAGCCTACAGTGTTTTCTTTAGGTCATATTCTTGGATTTGTTTGGGGGAAAAAATCTGGTTTTTATCTGAGGGGTAATCCCTTAGATACTTAATTCTTCCACAATCTTGAATATAAGTAGCTAATAACTACCCTAGTGTTCCAGACACTTAGAAGAAACTTGGAGTTCCATAGCTGTAAGGCCTTAGGAAGCATGTCCTAGACTCCTGTATTTCCACAGTAGAAGATGACCACATTCTACAGCAGGAAAAGGCAAAGCTCCTGCCTCTGCTGTATGTGTCTTTACATTCATGGCACTTGGTTGACTTGAACCTTTTAGATCACACCTCTTGCATTTAGTTTTGTTTTTGCAAGTGTGTTTGAATGCCCATGAACTACACGAACTAGCAGAGGAATGGGGAGTAATGTAGAGATAAATATTAAGGCATATTGTTAGCTTCACTGACTAAACTTTCATCTTTCTCAGCCAATTAAATTTTTCCCTTTAAATATTTCTATTCCTTAGTTGTTTTGTAATTTTTTGTCTTCCAACATTTTGTTTTTCTTTCTCTTATCCCCATGTGCTCTTTGGGTCTCTTAATCTAGCTAATCCTGATGGAATGATGTTTAGTGAGGAAAGGACAGTAAGTAGAAGGTATTTGGGCCTTCCATAAGCATGAAATCTATTACATTAGTAGCAGAAAGAGGAAGAAAATCGTGGTTAGAATTGTTTTTGAGTTACCAGGTTTCTTTTGTTTTTACAGTTCGAATACTACTGCTGGTATTCATGTTCTTCAGGAAGTCTCCATGTCACGCTACATTCCTCACCCTTTCCTGGTAGTATCTGTTACTCTGACGTCTGTGAGTACAGAGAATGGAATCACCTTGAAAATGCCACAGCAGGTACCGTACCATTATCAAGGTTTTTGGAGTTTACATCTCAGTGTTTAGTATTTTAAGGAAGTGTTAGGAACTGTTTGGTTAGCAAACAAATATTACCTATCTGTCTAGAACATACTTTGTATGAAAATGTTGTCATCTTCATACAAACTAAACAAATGTGGTTTCTGCTCATTTTAAACAATTACATACAGTTGACTTGTTATGCAGATACTAAAATCGCGTGTATTTTGAAATGTGTGAAATGAGTGGAGATTACTTAAGCAAAGATGAGGAATCTGAGGCAGAGGGAAGAGTAATGCGAAGACTCAAGGCAAGAGAGAACATGATATACCGGGGAATGGAAGAATTTATTTAGAGTACTGAACATTGAATATGGTGGTCTAAACTTTCTAAAGTCCTTTAAGCTGGGTATTAGCTTAACACTTTATAATGTTTAAGAGGAAAATAAACTGCAGAAGGGCCAAACTGCATGAAAGAAGAGCAGGTAAGAGGCCATTATACTGATCGAAGTAAATGGTGTTATTGACTGAAACTTGACCAATGGAAAAGGGAAATGGAGTAAATGAATATAGAACATTGAGGACTCCATGATTATGAGAAAAGAGAAAGTACTCCCCTAGTTTCAGGATGAATTAACCTGATATGTAATGGTGCCTCCAGGATCCAGCTTGTAGACCTTCCTTAGCCAGAGCTGCTTCTGTTATACCATTAGTTTTCAATTTTCATGTCAACTGGGAGCCTGTTATCCAAAGAATATCTATGTACATTTATTATTTATCCTGTCTTTTTATTCTTATTGAAATATTTCTATTATACCTTATCACTCCATATAATTATAGAAAATTTAACCACTTGATAAGAGAGCTTCTTTCATTCTAGTTATAATTGTTACAAGTAGTTATTTATAAGGATCTAAAAACTGATTTAAAACAGCACATCCCATTTCTGTGTTCTTTGGACCAAGAAATAATAAAAGTTACTATCTCTTCTGTAAGATGACCCTAAAAAGGTTTGTTTTTTGTTTTTTGTTTTTTGTTTTTTTTTTTGCGGAACCGGGGATTGAACTCAGGTACTTGTGCTTGCCAGGGAAGCGCTTATTCCACTGAGCCATCTCCCCGGCCCCCTAAAAATATTTTTAAACAAGTCAGTGTGCGTTGGCACACACCTGTAATCCCAGCACTTGGGATGCTGAGACAGGATTGTTATAAGTTCCAGACCTGTCTGGGCTACAAAGTGAGCTCAAGGCCGGCCTGAACTGCATAGCAAGATTCTGTCTCAAAAAGACAGGGCGAGAGAGATAATTAAGCAATCTAAGTGCCTGCCTGGCAAGTGCAAGGATCCTAGTTCAATTCCCAGCACCACTCGATCCCTTGTACTCCTTGCTGTGCCAGCCCTGCCCCGGACGTGCCCAGCTGGCCACTGAGACCAGCGTGGTGGTGCACTCCTGTAATCCGAGCTCTGGGAAGGCTAAAACAGAAGGATCACTACAAGTCTGAGCTGCATAATGAGACCCTGTACCGAATACATAAAAGTTTTTTTAAAAAACTAATAACAATATACAAATATTTTCAGACAGTTATTCTTCAGCTTTCCCTTCTTGCCTCATAGCTTTCTCTGAGTCTTCTCTTCTGCATGCCAGATATTCCTTTGCCTTCACTTATCTCATGTAGTATTTGCTCTTGACCCCTTTGCTGTTTTCTTCTCCTTTCTGTAGGTACACATCTTCATTAACATATAGCTCTTCTTTCCTTTTCAACTATATTTCATGGTAACCAAATAGTCCTTAGTTGATTAGAGAAAGATCTGCTTCTTCTAAACAAGAGATGTAACAGGAATTCTAAACAAAAGACAAAAGGAATGTGAAAATTTTAAAAATCACCATTTTAAAACCTTGAAGAAATGACTGATTTAGCAGTGATCATTACTGGATAGAACTTTACAATAACAAGATCAGGTTGTCATACTGTCTTTTTTTTTTTTTTTTTTCTTTTTTTTTTCTTTTGGCAGAACCAGGGATTGAACTCAGACCCTTGCGCTTGCCAGGGAAGCTCTTATTGTACTGAGCCATCTCCCCCACCCCCATTCTGTCCTATTAATCATCACTAAAAGTGGAAAAGCCATCTATCCTGTCTTTCTGGAAATGATGTACTGTGCTTTCTCATTTATCACAGAGGTTATGTTCCAGACACCCTCCTCAATAAGTGAAAATCGGCGAAGCAGCAATGTTGTATTTATTTAGCATTTATGTAATTTTGAGACTTTATAAGCCCATCCCACACTTATCAACCTTTCTCACACTTTTAAAAACACTTCTAATGTTCTTAACCATTTTCTAAACTCATAAACCTACATAATTTTAACAACATACATATACTGTACACTATCTCAAAATCCCATGATATAGTGAAAAATCTGTAATAATTTAGATGAATATTTTTTGAAAATCCACAAAACAGTGAGTCTGCAAAAGTTGAACTGTGAAATAGTGAGGGACTACTGTAATGTGAAATTCACATGAAAAATTATCAAAAACGTTGAACCTATATCTAATCAAATATGTAGTTATTGTCCACTCACAGATATGGATGGAAGACTAGTCTAGTTATACAACACAGAGAAACAAGCAGAATATGAGACAGTTGTAAGTCAATTACATGGGCAATAATAATAATAATAATAATAATAATAATAATAATAATAATAGCAACAACATGGGCAGAAGAATGTAATGACTGCTCTACTAGACAACAAATCCAAAAGCTCAGCCATGTGGGAGGAGGCCAAGGCCATGCCAGGCAAGGAACTCAGCCTTTGGCTACATCTGAGCCACCAGGAGCCAAGGACCTTCTAGATGTGGTGGGACTAGGCCCGTGCAGACATTTAGGGTGGGACACCAAAGACTGGCGCTGAAGCACATTGATAAGGAACTTAGTGAACTGGCCCGTGACCCTCCAGTACAGTGTTTTACAGGCCTGTTTGGGGATGATACATTCCATCGGCAAACCACAGTTATGGGACCTGCTGACAGCCCAAATCAGGGCGGTGTGTTCTTTTGGACAGTTCATTTTCCTACAGAATACCCCTTCAAATGACCTAAGGTTGCATTTACAACAAGAATTTATCCTCCAGATATTAACAGTAATGGCAGCATTTGTCTTGATATTCTAAGATCACAGTGTTCTCCTGTTTTTATTTCTAAAGTTCTTTTATCCATTTCTCCACTGCTATATGATCCAAACTCAGATGACTCCCTAGTGCCAAAAAGTACAACAGAACATCTCGAGAATGAACTGAGAAGAATGCCATGAGATGCTGCCTTAAAATCAGAATAAACTGCATTATAGCTGGAATAAACTTTAAATTAATGTTAAAATAAAATTTAAAAAAAGTTCATCTGTATCTTCATTGAAATCAGCTGTAAAAAAGACACTGTTAAAATAATTAGGGATGGGGCCAGCCAAGATAGCTCAGCAGATTAAAGCACCTGCTTAAGGAGAGGCAGAGGCCAGGGGTTCAATCCTCAGCCTGCCATGCGGGCCCCACCCCGGCGCGCACTGAGATGGCAATTCAGACTGAGCGTGGTGGTGCGCACCCGCAATCCCAGCACTTGGGAGGCTGAAAACAGGATCAGTAGAGTCCAGTCTGTGTAGTAAGACTCTGTAGACCCTGTACTAAATACACACAAAAATAATAATTAGGGTAGTTTAATTAGCATTATATAAGGAAATATTCCCATATTTTAGGAATGAATATTAAATATATGAAGATAAAATGGCCTGAGCTTTTTTTTTTTTAATGTATTTAAAGTACAGGGTCTCACTACATATACCTGACTTATAGTGATCCTCCTGTCACACTGGGGAATGAAACCCAGTCGCTGTGTCTGCCTAAGCCGGTGCTTTAATCTGCTGAGCTATCTGGCCTGCCCTAATAAAGGGACTTTGTCTATCCCTGATAAAGTGGGCAGTCAGTGGTGTCAGTAGCACAGGGCACCACTGACATTTTAGGAGAGCCTTTCACAAAGAGGAGGTAATTTAGTGAAAAGCAGATTAAGAATTAACTTCAAATACAAAGGGAGTTAAATGGACTGGAAAACCAAAACAAGGAATATAGTATTGTAGCAAAGTAAGTCTTGATTTAATAATAAAGATTTAAATAGTGTCAGTGAAATTATCTTTATTTAATAATAAAATATAAGAAAATAATATTCGTGAGAATTACTCTAGAATTGCACAGCTTTTTTCATGAAAGCGTGATGAGTACCTTATTGAGTGGTTGGATGGAGAATTACCTACCAGGAAGTTTGTAAACCTAAGAGATTATATTTTGAGTTCCTTCTGGTTTAGGGTTATGAGCATTCAGGTAGCTCATGCTTCTTCTAAAAACATCTAAAGTTCCCTGAGATTATTACTAGCTACTTACAATATTAATAAAAATGTTGAATGAATAATCATTCTTTGAAGAAAGAACTTTAGGAAAGGTGTAATTGGGGGTTGAACTAGTGTGCTTTCCCTGAGCTACATCCCCAGCATTTTTTTTTTTTTTTTTTTTTATGTGGAACTGGGGATTGAACTCAGGCCTTTGCACTTGCTAGGGAAGTGCTTATTCTACTGAGCCAAACCCAAGCCTCTTTTTTTATGTTTTTTTATTTTGAGACAGGATCTTACTGAGTTACTAAGCCCACCCTGTCCTCCAACTTGGGATCTTCCTGCTTCAGGCTCCCAGTGCTAGGATTATAGGCGTGTATTCCTTTTTTTTTTTTTTTTTAGTGAAGTGTGAAATACAGTGGGTTAATACATGATCTTATAATTTAAAATGGTCGCTATAAATGTTATTGTACTAAGTTTCAGTAAATGTTTTCATGGTCTTTGAAGTGTTTGAGGAATTTGTCTATATGCCAGGTTCCAGAGGGCATACATCAAATACAGTTTTAATTTGATGTTTCCATGCTTGCTTGGTTTTTTGTTTGTAAAAGAGAATAAAAAAAGAATTTCAAAACATGATGATAGGAAATTAACAATGTTGACTATATTGCATAGTCTTATCAAAGTAGTTGCTCTCTTTACCAGATACAGGCGACACCGTTGATCAAAATGTAAGCACTAATTGTTCCTTTCATTGAGCTAACAGAATGTAGTAGTACAATTGCCTTAGCTACCTTGGGGGGTACACATGTATTACATGATTTAACTTTATCATGGAAATACCTACAGGAGGGACAGTGGTGTCAAATGGAATTTCTCGTTTTAGTTTTTTGAAGACTCTCTGTACTGCTTTCCGTGGTGGTGCTGCTAATTTGCATCCCTAACAACAATTTAGAAAGGTTCCTTTTTTCCAGTGCCCTCAACAGCATTTATTACTTCGTTTCTTAATGCCACTCATTCTTTTGACAGTAGGATAGAATTTCAGTGTTGTTGTAACTTGAATTTCTCTAATAGCCAGAGTTGAACATTTTTTCATGTACTTATTGGCTATTTGTCCTTTTTCAGTTACCCATTATTTGATTGATCTTTTATTTTGGGAGGTCTAATTTCTATATATTCGAGATATTCTTTATCTGAGATATAGCTGACAAAAACTTATTGCCATACTGTAGATTGCCTGTTCTTTCTGTTGGTTGTTTCCTCTGCTGCGCAGAACCTTTTTATCGGGCATGATCCCATTTGTTGCTTTTTTTTTTTTTTTTTTTTTTTTTTTTTGCAGAACTGGGGATTGAACTCAGACCCTTGTACTTGCCAGGGAAGCACTTATTCTGCTGAGCCATCTCCCCAGCTCAATTTGTTGGTTCTTGATGTTATTTTCTTGTACAGCTAGGTTCTTCTATTGAGGTCATTGCCTACACCTATGTCTTCAAAAAATTTATTTTATCTTCCAGATTTTTTGTTTCAATATGTAGACCTTTGATCCATTTTGATTTTAGTATAATATGTAATGAGATATATGGGTCTAGATTCAATCATCTGCATGTTGCAAGTCACAGTTTCATGTAGTTCATGTGTTTGGCTTTTGTGTGTGTGTGTGTGTGTGTGTGTGTGTGTGTGTGTGTGTGTGTGAAAGAGCAGGTTGTATGTCCTCTATTCTGTTTCTTCTTTTGGAGGCAAAGCTTTCCAATTTTCTTCACTTAATATGAAATTGGCAGTAAGTTTATCATAAATGGTTTTTATCATGGTTTTTGTCCTGTTTATGTGATATACTTATGTATTTGTTGAACCATGCTTGCGTGCCTGGAAGCCTGTTAGGACATGATGTATGATTTTTTTGATGATGTGTTGCATTCTGCTGGCCAATACCACTGTACCTTGGTTCACAAACTTAATTTTTTTCTATGATTTTGGAAAAGATGGCTACGTACGTTTGTGTTTCTGTGGGAAAGATAGCGGTGGTTGTCTGTCACCTGATACAGAATTTGCTAAAACAAAATTTTGGTAGATGCTTGTTTGTGAATCAAACTGCAAACAAAAGCATTTGTGTACTGAGGTACTACTTGTTTAAGAATTTTTCATCTATGTTCGGTAGAGAGATTGCCTTGGAGTTGCCTTTTTTTCCTAACCTCCCAAGCCCTACTTTATCCTTTAAACCTTTTCTTAGCTATGCCAGTTAAACCAGTGAAATGTTTTCTCGCTTTTTATGTATTTCTGATTTTCTTCTAGTTTCTCCAGGATAATCCAGCTCTACCCCCAGTTTCATTTTCACCAGTTTGATCATTAACTGTGTTAAGCCTTGTTCTGCTCTAGCCAAGAAGCTGTTTATATTCCGGTAGAAGCTAAAGTGGCTGCACATAGTACAGCCTGAATAGAGTAGATTATTTAATTTATAAACCTTTTGGATTAGGAAGGGTGAAATGCTGAAAATATATCTGTAAATCTAATTTTCTCTTCTGAAATTTCAGGTTCGTGATGCAGAGAGCATTATGCTGAACCTTGCTGGACAGCTCATCATGATGCAGAGGGACAGGTCTGGCCCTCAAATCCGAGACAAGGACAGTAACCCCAACCAAAGGAAACTTGTGAGTATAGTACAAGCTATCTCAGACATTGAGAAGGTGTGAGATTAGGTTAACAAATCAAACAATTTAAGAAGAGCGTAATGTTTTATGATTCAGAAACTGAGAAAATGCATTAAATTCATTTTAAGCCTAATATTAAAAGATCAAGGATAAACTCCCATAATAATAAAATGTCCTGTGCTCCAGATGTTAATGTAGTCCAGATGCTTAGTTGTAAATGGTAATGAGAAAAACAAGGATTGGTGATGTTCAAGAGATTTCTTTATTGTTGTTTTTAGATTTAAATGTATATACTTTGAAAGGCAAAAAACTGTTATTACCTCTAATCCTAGAATTTTTCCTCAAAAGCTGCTGTACTGTTGTTTTGAAAAACATAATAAACTACTACTTAGGAACTTAAGAACCTACAAATTAAAAAAAAAAAAACTGATTCTTGTCTCTTCTTCTCTAGCTGCCATTCTGTCCTCCTGTTGTACTAGCCCAGTCTGTTGAAAATGTTTGGACTACATGTCGAGCAAATAAACAAAAACGTCACCTTCTGGAAGCACTCTGGCTCAGCTGTGGTGGTGCAGGGATGAAAGTCTGGCTTCCTCTCTTCCCTAGGGACAACCGCAAGCCGCATTCCTTCTTGTCTCAGCGGATCATGCTGCCTTTCCATATCAATATATACCCCCTGGCGGTTCTGTTTGAAGATGCGTTGGTCCTTGGTGCTGTCAATGACACTTTACTGTATGATTCTTTGTACACTCGGAACAGTGCTAAGGAGCAGCTTGAGGTGCTCTTCCCTTTCTGTGTCGTGGAGAGAACCTCTCAGATCTACCTCCACCACATTCTACGTCAGCTGCTGGTCAGGAACCTTGGGGAGCAAGCCTTGCTCTTAGCTCAGTCTTGTGCTGCATTACCTTACTTCCCTCATGTGCTGGAGCTTATGCTCCATGAAGTGCTGGAAGAAGAAGCTACCTCACGGGAGCCCATTCCCGACCCGCTGCTTCCCACTGTGGCAAAATTCATTACTGAGTTCCCCCTCTTCCTGCAGACAGTTGTGCACTGTGCCAGGAAGACTGAATATGCACTGTGGAATTACCTTTTTGCAGCTGTTGGAAACCCGAAGGACTTGTTTGAAGAATGCTTGATGGCTCAGGATTTGGACACAGCTGCCTCTTACCTTATCATTTTGCAGGTAACAGTTCTTTTCTTAGAAGTAAGAACTAGAAAAATAGCCTGTTGACACTGTGCTTGTGTTTTAAGGAATAGTCAGCTTTTCTCTTTAGTTTACATCCTTTGTTTTGAAGAATTCAGTCTTGTCAAATGACTGTAGATGTTTTCTGAACACTGTAAAAAAAGTATCACAAGGGTATTTTATTGTTTGTCTATAACACGGACTTGTATTATTTTAAATACTACTGGAGAAATTTTATTACATGTGTTGTAATACATATGTTAGTACACATAAAAGAAATATTACAGTTTGGACATTAGTGCACTTGTCTGAGCTACACAAAGTAATTCATTTTTTTATTGTGTAGAATTGCTGGAGGGGTGTTCACTAGACTTGCATTATAGCCAACTTAGGGTAGGCGCCCGAGAGCAAGGTGAGAAGGCTCAAGTCTCCCACAGTAAGCACTTTCATAAACACTCGTTTTTCTTTCAAAGTAATAGGGCTGGTGAGATAGCTCAGTGGACTCAGCTCCTGCTTAGGCAATGCAGAGGAACCTGCACTTGATCCCCAGTATTGCATGCTGTGTTGGCCCCGCCCCGGGGTGTCCTGAGCTGGCCACAGAAACCAGGCATGGTGGCGCATGCCTGTAGTCCCAGAGCTGGGAAGGCCGAAAACAAGAGGATTGCTACAAGTCTAAGCTGTACAGTGAGACCCTATACCAAATACATTTTAAAAACTTTTTTTAATAAAAAAATGTAATAGGTTCTTTGAGGCTCCAAAAAATTTAATTATATATTTGACAAAAGGCTTGATAGTTTGTTATTCCCATGAGTTTGATAACATTTTGATTGGCTATGTGAAGGTTCTTTCAAATTACAGCAAAACTTTCATATATAAGAAGTTAACCATAAATCTCAGCCTGATGCAGATGTCCTATCAGCTTATTTGCTTCATGACAAGTAAATGAAACCAGAAGAGATAGTAAAGCAGAAGCTAATAGCCTTGAGATTATATGATTCTTTAGCCCTAAAAAAAAAAAAAAAAAAAAAAATCACTGAACTATAAAAATGGAAAAGAAATGCATTAAGAATCTGTTCATTTTTGCGGTACTAGGGATTGATCCATGAGTGCCTAAGGTACATTCCTGGTCCTTTTTCCCAAGTTGCCCAGTCTGTCCTCTTAGCCTCCTGAGTAGTTGGAACTATGAGTATACACTACTGTTCCCATCTAGCAGCTGTTGCTCCGGAGTGGTAAATAATAATTATAATTAATGTACTAGGCATCTTTCTATACAAAAGCCAACACAGGTAGTAAGGTTGAATTTATGAAAAAAGTATGGAGGATGCTAAATGTATAATAGTACTACTGAATGTCCAAAGCAAAGACTTTGTAGTTATATTGCTTAGAAAACTTTGTCCTTTAAAGGTAGACCTAAGTGTTTTTGAAGCCAAGCAAGTCAGATTTATATTCTTGCTCTTCTGCTTATCTTCAGCAATTTACAAAAGTCAGTTTCCTCACCTGTAAAAAGAAAGGAATGATGCACCATGACTGAGAATAGTAAATAATGTATGCAACGTGGCATGTAAATGGGAATCCAGCAAGTCAGAGTTCATATTATACCACCAGAGTACTTAACTCACTGTCCTTTTCAGTGCTCCTTTTAGTAATACTATAAAACTATCACATACAATATTATATCTCCATCCCTTGGGTTTAGGGAATTGTGAACAAAAGAACTGCTCTTATCTTCTCAAATCATCTAGTACAAAATGCTGTCTTCTTTGGTTGTTTCTTTAGAATATGGAAGTCCCGGCAGTAAGCAGGCAACATGCCACCCTTCTGTTCAACACAGCGCTGGAACAAGGCAAGTGGGACCTGTGCCGACACATGATTCGATTTCTTAAGGCCATTGGCTCTGGGGAAGCTGAAACACCTCCATCCACACCTACAGCTCAGGTTAGTTGTGAAGCTGTTGTTTCTTCCGGCCATACATCTGTAAGGTATCTTTCTCTAACCGTATTGCATGTTATGTGTTACCATAGGAACCTAGTTCAAGTGGCGGATTTGAGTTCTTCAGGAATCGAAGCATCAGTTTGTCCCAATCAGCTGAAAATGTTCCTCCTAGTAAATTCAGCTTACAGAAAACACTAAGTATGCCATCTGGTCCTTCTGGAAAAAGGTACAAAAATAGAGAATCATGATTGCTTTTAGGGCAACTATGAAACATTAGATTTCAAACATTTATAAAATAAAGTCTTATGGAAGCATTAACTGTTTAATCCAGTTGCAAATCCTTTTATAGCGTGTGCACAGAAGGCTTCCCTTTTCCTTCCCATCAAGTTCACCGCAAAAATTCTGAACCTTTGTACTAGAGTACCCTTGATGCACCTGTTCTAAGTGCAGCTAACTGTTGATGACAGAGAATCTAACTAAAAAGACATATACAGATAATCTGAAAACCTTAAAGTCAAGTTTTGTCCAAGACAAAAGGAAAGATTTAGTGAATGCATTTGATTGCCATTTGATTCTTTGATTAGAGAAGTCATTTAATAGTGAGAAAACCAAAGGAATTATATTCTGAAGAGCAAAGCCTGCTTTATCTAGGTTTATTATCTCTGGGAAAGTAGATACTATAAAATTAGAATTCCCTCTCGCTTGTATGTCCTTGGCTCTTACTTTTTCTTCTTCATTAATTGTTTCTTTTCTTTATATTTTTATTAAAGCATTTCTTAGTTTTTTGCAGTACTGGGAATTAAACCCAGGGCTTTCACATGGAGCTGTATGTATCCTCAACCCTCTTTTCTTTTTTAAAATTTTTTTTGGGGGGTTGGTGTTTTTTGTTTTAATTTTTTAATAGATTACAAATTGAAAATAAATTATTTACAAACATAAATGAATATAACAATAAAAATTGTCCAAAATACAAATGAAGAATTTACAGATCAGTCATAATAGTTCACTGTGTCAAAACCAAGAAACTTATATTCATATAACTAGAATTCTCAAAGTAGAAAGGAGTAGGCAATAAATATTTAAAGATTTAAAAATTCTGAATTTAGTTCAACTTATAATACCGCACTTACAAGAAAAATGAACCTTTTGCACAAGAAATTTAAATAAAATCATACCAAGATACACAAAAATGAAATTGTCCAAAACTTGTTATAAAGAAAAAAATGATTAAAGCATATACATAAAAAATATTAGCTACGGAAGAACAAAATTAAATAGCACCTTATTTCACATTAGAAAAAAAAAAGGACCAAGTGTATAGGAAACTAGACTAATTATAGGACTGAAAGAAAAGATCTGTCCTCTTTGAATTTTATACTTAGCAAACATAACCTTTGAAAACTAAAAGTAAGATTTTCTAGTTATACAAACTTGAAATATTTTAATACTTCCAGAAGTAGCATATAGGAAATAGCAAAGAGCATAATTTAAAAGGCAAGAGAAGTTGCAGTATGCTCCTGGATGAACAATAAAGAGCTCTCAATATGATAGCTATGCAGGACTGTATAATATATATTAGATGAACCCATATTTAAAGGTCATTCCAGATTTCTATGAAACAGTACCAATCTTATATTGGGTTATACACATTTTTTTTTTCTTTTCATATATATGTGTGTATAAAAGACAGGGAAGAAGTAATATAAAGAGAAAATGGAAATATACTTTTTAAAGTTTCTAAGACTAGGAGAAGATATCATACGATGCCTTTTAAATAAATTGTAAGTCAAAGATATAGTATAAATCTTAGAACAAAAATTAAGATTAAGCAATATTCAGAAAATTAAATACTAATTAATTAAAAATTAAATGTTTCAAAACAATTGAACTAAGAAAAAGTTTTCATGATAGCAAAGAAGTACTAAGAGTAAAACATAAGATAAATACTGGAATGGCAAGTA